AACTTGGGGAGACCACGTCAACATAAGTACCCAGATTCCCATTGTCTCGGGGAGATCGTTCCTTCACTGCAGTATCATTTTAGAGAAAATCAATCATTTTGGTCCTTTTTCAAAAGACACTTCCTGTAAACAGCCTAGCAGTAGTGATGCCAATGGCTTTTAATATACTCAGGTGGGTTTTCTGAAGGTTTAATGATGGGTATTGTGTGAGCATCAACCAAAAAGGGTAAACAGTATTATTTAAGCAACCATCACTTATTGCCTAAATATCAGCCTAAGAATATTCTAAACGATGGCTTTTTAGTTGCATATGCTTAATGGAGTTTGGGAATATTGACGTATTTCCAAGATTTCCTTCCGCGTCCTTCCTCCCCACCCTCACAATAAAGCCTTGAGGTTGGTAAATATCTTCAGAGTAACGCATGGTAATTTTGATGGAGTTTGGTTAATATGTCTTTCTCTGTTTAACTTGTTGCATGCACTGTGGCCTGACACTGAATTTCTTAACAGACCAGAAGTTTTCAAATGTGCAAGCCTTCTGTGCCTGGGGAAAAAGGGTGAACTTTTGCCTTTGTAATAAGATATGCTCCAATTACCAACTTTAGCAATTTAATATAGTTGAATAATAACTAAATGAGACACTTTGTCACTCAGTCATTATTCAAGCTTCTGTTGGGGATGAAATACAGGGTTGCTGGAGGTCAGCCTTCTCCTGGGGGGAGCTCAGTCTTAGAAACTGACTCAGAAATTTAAAAAAAAATTTTTTACAAAAATATTTAAAATTCCAGAAAGTACAGCTCAAACCATGTTTTATAAAATACAATTATAAACTGCCATAAAGAGCTCATTTGATCTTTTTAAATGGCAGAGTATTTTGTGTTTTAGTTTTGTATTTGGAAAGTGTAATGGTGGTAAAAAAGCAATCATCTAAATATTTGATCTAGTGCTTTGGGGATGGGGATGATGCAGAGTACTTTGCTTTCCTATTGGCCACCGATATGTGCACATTTCTCCTCACCCTACCTTGCAGGTACCTTCGTAGAAACACTCCAGTATCCATTACAAGGCTTATATATTTATATCTTGCTTTGATATGTACAAGACGTGTCCACGGGAAATTATTTATTGATGTGTGAAGCTTAGAGAAGCCAAGAGTTTTTAATGTACTTGATTTAGACTCAGGTTTCATTGTTTGTTTTTGTTGTTTCCAGATGTATTACAGGCCAAATTTTTGTTAGAGCTGGGACTAAGCCTTCTTGGAAATTTTAGATGATTAATTCATGTACTTAGAATACATACGTTGTTGTGTCCTAGAGTATCATGACAGAGAATATGACCATTCAGGAAGGCTGTGTGTCCTTCTGGTATGAAATGAGGGCCACCTCAGTATGACAGATGGCAGATCTCAGGAAAGACATGGCATTTTGTCCAGGATATCCATGACCTGTTCCCTGCAATCCCACACTCTCATTGAATTCCCTTAGTGAACATTACTACTAAAATGGCCATAGATGCTTCCTGACCTCATCCCTTCGGAGTCTTAGAAGGAGCACATCTGCTTCCTGGACCAGGGGGTTCCTGATGCCAAGAGGGGTCAGGAGACTTGCAAAAGCAGCTCTAGAAAGAGTTCTGCAAAGTGCAGGCAGTCCTAAGAGACACGGACCCCACTGACAGAGGGCCCACCCCTTCTTCCCAACTCCAGATGATGCCAATCCCCAGGGTTTCATTGTAAAGCCACTGACTAGGTTAAGAAAACAAACCACAGGCCCATAGAATCTCTAAGTCTGAGCTCATACGACTTCAAAGCATCTTTACAATTGTTGACGTTCTCTGGCAGTGAGTGTTCCTGGCTGTTCAGTTTTGCTTTTTTTTTTTTTTAACCTTCTAGAGCATTCTGATACAAGTGCTTATAAACAGGTATGCTCATGGTATAAAAGATGTATTCCTTTGGTTGTAGTGCCCACTCAGAAAAGTGTCCCCTAAAAGTCACCCACATCTGTGTCTTTTTCCCACCTACACAGACTGAAGTGCCTAAAGCACCGATTAAAAAGTAATAATTAAAAAATGTTTACAGGCACTGGCCTAGATCCATCTCTGTGGCTCTGATTAAACTCCATGACAAAAAAACTACTTAGGGGCAAAAGGGTTTGTATTAAGCTAACAATTCCAAGTTATAGTCTACCATAGTGGGAAAGTCACAGTGACAATATCTAAGAGCAGCTAATTATACTCACAGACAAGACAGAGAAAAATGATGCAGGCACATTCATTTGCTACTCACTTTTTCTCAGCTCAGATTTTTCTCCTTTTAGACAGTTCGGGACCCTCTTGCCTACGGAATGGTACCCATCCTCAGCTACTCACATGCGGCTGAGTCTTCCCACATCAATTAATGTAATTAAGACAATCACCCATAGACATGCCTACAGGCCAACCCAACATAGAACATCTCCCACTGATACACTCTTTCCAGGTGATTAAGGTAGTTGTAAGTCGACAAAGCTAACAATCACAGGTATATAATGTGTGCTGAGCATATAATGCCCTCCACCTCACAACCCTCCCTTTTATAACTTCCTCCTCCCATTAATTTCTTTTGTTTCCCAGACAATTTTGCTTCCACTCTCATTCAATCTATGGATACACGATTTTATGTGACTGCAGAAAACCCAGGCACCACAAAGATAAGAAAACTTATAATATTTATCTTCCGGAAACAGCTTTAATTCACTTAGCGTAGTTATCTCCAGTTATATCCATTTTCATACACACACACACACACACACACACACACACACACACACACACACACACGGTATTTTCCTATACTTCCCTGTTCTTGGACACATAGGCCAACTCCATGGCATAGCTATTGTGACTAGTGCTGCAGTATATATTGATGTACAAGTATCTCTATGGCATTGTGGTAGTTTTAATAAGAATGCCCCCCCGCCCCCATAGACTCATAGATTTGAATGCTTGGTCACTAGAGATTGGTGCTGCTTATAAGGATTAGGGGGTGTGGCCTTGTTGGAGTGGGTGTGGCCTTGTTGGAGGAAGTGTGTTACCGGGGGTGGGCCTTGGAGTTTCTAAAGTTCAAGTCAGACCCTGTGGATCTGGATGCAGAACTCTCTGCTACCTCTCTAGCACCACATTCGCCTGTGTGCTGCCATGCTTCATGCCATGATGATAAAGGACCAAACTTCTGAAAAGCTGTACGTCAACCTCAATCAAAAATTTTCCTTCCTAAGAGTTGCCATGGTCATGGTGTGTCTTCACAGCAATAGAACATTGCCTGAGACTGACATGTTGACTTGGTGTCCTTGGGGTGAATAACTAAGAATGATATGTCTTAATTGGTTGTAGGGTAGATCTATCTCTATGTTTTTGAGCAATGTCTATGCTGCTTTCTGTAGAGATTTGACTAGTTTACATTTCCCCCCAGAAGTGAATAAGGGTTCCCTTCTGTCATTTGGATTTTTTTTCCCTTTGGTGCCGGGGTGGTGGTAGGGAGCTTGCTTTATGGCTGAGCACTGATTTTCTTCTACCAGGCCTCTGGTTGTATGTTCCAGGGCAGAGACCTCTCTCTAAGCTCTGGAAAGAAATTCAGATTGGCCTCAGAGGACAGCATCACTACACTAAGTGACTCTGACCTAAGGGACATTCAGCCTCATTCCAATGGAACTAAGGTCCTCTTTTTTGTTGACTGTGGCCACCTGTGAGCTGGAGAACTGAAAGTTGGGGAATACAGATAGACCATCCCATGGTGGAACTGCCCAGAGAGAGTCTAAGACACACTGCAAGTCTCTATCAGCACCACAGGCCCCTTCAAAAGCTTTAGGAACGAATTTATTACCATCTCACCTATGTCCAACTTATGGCCTTCCTTGTCTCCTCAACCTCATTTTGCGCCCAGCCTGAAGGCTACACTCTGCCTCTAATCAGCAGCAACCCAAGCTCCTCATCCCCAATCACTCCATCCTGTTGTTTCCAGGGTCATCTTCAGTATTGTTCCCTCTTTTACACACCTCAGTCTTAGGATTCAACCCCTCCTAGCTGTATACATGCTAGAGCAACCCAGAGTAGGGCCCACCAGAAAGAGTAGAGTAGGCCCTTGTTCTGGCCCTGGGCCGACTTCATCAATTGCACAACCGGGCACCATGAGAAACACATGACTGCCATCCACATAGACAAAGATGGAAAATATGAGCCATCCATTTGGCAATAATGTTGGCATCTTCCTCCCTTCATGCTGCCAAGGCCTGACCAGAAAGATCTTGGCCTGCTCACTGCCTGGTGTGGTCAGCCCAGACACAGGGTGGCTCAGGTCATGGTGTGTAGAACAGCTGTGATGAAATCTATACATACAGGTGAAGACAGAGAACAGGTTTCAGCTTCCACAACAGCCCGTGCCTGTGGAACCCAAACTAGAGTGAGGTCTAGAAAACCCTGATGGAATTAGACAGGAAAGTTTTGTTTGTTTGTTTGTCTGTTTGTTTGTTTGTTTTAACTTATAAATTGCCTCAAGATAGAAATTATGTTCTGGCTTTCTTTACATTTTCATTCACATAAAAAAAATAGATTTTTTTTTTTGTCCACATAAAACAGTGCCACCTTTTTGAATAGGGAAAGCAGAATAGGTAAATAAATGTTAAGTAAATAAAGAAGGATGTTTGTTATGTTGGGGAGGGGGGGAACTATGTCCTTAGTCACTATAGAATATCAGTTCAGCAGCCCAAATGATTTCAAAAGTAGCTTCAGGAGGCCAGGAAGAAAACCCAGATCACACATCTGCTTATCTCCTTTACCCTCCCTGAAAACCTTCCTTGGTTAAATACTATTTTCCTTATTCTGTGAAACAGGAAACTGAGGCTGCCTGAGGGTTGTTCAAGGTCACAATGAGTAAGTGATGGAGTTAGGAATTGATCGGGGTGTGTCAGACACCAAAGCTCCTAACTGTTAGACTGTCACTGATTTGAGCAACTGTCCTCTCCCTGAAGTGTACACCCAGGGACATTCAACAACATTCCAAGATGATGTCACCAGGGAGAGCTCCGTTAAGTTGCCATTGAAGAAGTCCTCTCATCCATTTCCCAAAACTCAGAGTTGAAAGGTGAGTTTTGTAATCACTTCCCTTTTAATAGATGATTTATTTTAAGCACCCAGCATGGTGATGCAACCAAGCAGGGGTGAGCTTGGTTTGAAGACTTTCTGATTTTCTGGGAAGTGTTCTCACTGGAATAAACTTTGAGTCTCCGAGAAATTCCTCAAGATAGTCAGGCAGATGTCCATATATAGACACACATACACACATAGGAACACAGGTAGGTGTTCAGGGATACATAGCAGCGCATGAGCTAGGGTTGAAGAGTTTCTGATCTTCTGGGAGACGTTTCCACTCTCATAAGCTTTGAGTCTCCAAGGAAATTCCTCAAGATGGTCAATCAAATGTCCATCAATGTACATGTGCTCATATATATACATATCAGAACACAAGATACTTGTTCAAGGATATATGGGCCTGTGAGTGTATGTATAAATGGGCACAAGCACATGTGTATAGGAATGAACAGGCATGGTACACACATATGGTATATATGTGTATAGGAATATGCATTAGGAACATATGACATGGGTACACATGCATGCAGGAATACACAGGTGTATGCACATATGTATACAGGAAAATAGGTGTGTATGTGTGCATAGAGGAACAGATAGTTTGCAGTTATATCATAGAATGCTGCTTGAACAGAGATCGGGGTCGGGGGAACTATTAAGAGGAAAGACCTTTCAAATTGAAGCTAGTGGTTGGAGGTACAGAAATTAATTCACAATAGATTAAGAAGAGAGAGGCAGGAGCTGACCAACCCTGCTACCACCCAGGCCCAGAACCAGGGCTATGAGTTGATCCGCCCCAACATCCACCGCATCTATGAACTGTTGGAGCACGTGAAGGGGATGAACCTACAGATCCAAAACTGTAGGGTGCCCGTGAAGCAGGACAACAGGATATCTAAGAGGAACCCCAGTGGGGGCTCATTGTTGGTGGTGCAGCAGAAGCCAGGGGCCTTGAACCAGACCAATGACTGGAGGCAATGAACACTTTGAAGTAAAGACAAGAGGACTAAAGGGTAAACTGTGTGACTCAATGGACCACACTACAGATTCCATGACAAGATTCTTCTTCCTCGTTCTCCTCCTCCTCTTCCTCCTCCTCTTCTGTTGTTTTTATTTTTGTTAAAATATTTTGTTGTTTTGTTTTTGTTTCTTGGTTTTGTTTTTTCTCTTAATTTAGTCTTGATTTGGGAGGGAGGTTGCAAGGGCAGATGGCAAATTCAAGGAGACAGGGAGATAAGTGGGATCAGAATGCATGATGTGAGATGCACAAAGAATCAATAAAAGAAAGAGAAGAAGAAGGGGCAGAGTTTGCTTAAGGTACAGAGCACTGTGACAAGTACCTCACCGTCTACCCTACCAAACTGGGGTAGGTAGATGGTTGTGGAAGGAAAGAGGGTTCTGTTGGGCCTCCTCAGCTACTAGACAAACCACTTTTTCCCATGGCAGTCAACGGGACCAGGAACTTCTTAAGAGGTGGGCTAGCAGTAGCTGTATTTCTATGGGCTCCAGTCAGATAAATATATATCATAACAGGCTGGGAAGTGGCTCAGTCAGTGAAGTATGTGCCACCCAGGGAATGAAGACATGAATCTGGATCTGTGACACCCACAGAGAAGCTAGACGTGCTAAGGAATGCCCATAACCACTGGAGGAGTGGAGACAGGTACATTCCTGGAGTTCACTGGCCAGCCAATCTAGCTAAGGAGTGAGTTCTGTGAGAGACCCTGTCTCAAAAGATGGAGAGTACTAAGCCGGGCGGTGGTGGCGCACGCCTTTAATCCCAGCACTCGGGAGGCAGAG